AAAAAAAAAAAAAAAAAATGACAGGTAAGGACTTCTTTCACAATAACCGTGAAACGTGGGAACGATATGTGCTAATTATCCAAAATTTTAAAGTTGACTTTAAGTAGTAAAATTATATGGTTCAATTTGGAAGAATTATTATGTGGAGCATGTTGCGCGTATAGTTTCATTTTTATTTCTTACTGATAAGGCATCTAGTTTTGTTATCTTTTCCGAAGTCTCAAAAGTCAAATCTAAAGGGGAACTTTTTTGAAAATTGTTGTACATTTATTAATCTTAAATTTATACCGTTTTACAATTTTATCAAATATTTTACATAAGTTTATTATAAATGGTTTCTCCCATAATTTTTTCATTTTTATTTTCATAAAAGGTCTTTTTAGACAATTTTCTCCATCTAAAATGGTTTCCTAGAAAGAAGTTATAAAATCACTGTATGAGTTCATTGTCTACGATTAGCTGAAAATTTAAAAAATTACAATTGATGAGCAAAATTTTTTTTTTTTTAGTTGTTTACACTTAAGGGTCTGTTTGATTGCAAGAATGAAATTAGACGAAAAGAAAATGAATTTTAGGGAATTGAATTATCTGGAACTTGTTTTACTGAGAATTATCAATTAATAGTGTTTGAATGATATAATTTTTCACTTGAAAAATATTGAAATTTTGGATCTTTTGATATTCGTTTAATTTTGTTTTTTATGAAAATTGTCAATTAAATGAATATAATTTGTTTCCATTGCAAAAATAAAATAATAATAATAATAATAATTTTTAAAAAAGTTACCTAGAAAAACTTTTCTCACCAAATCCATGGGAAAAGATTTTCCTCAAAAACCAAGAAAATGTAGAAAACCAATTCCATGAAAAATTTAGTCAATCAAACATGCATAAATGTGGAAAATGGAATTTAATTTCCATCTTCCATGGAAAAGAAAGCCAAATCAAACACGGTCTAGACAAAATTTGTATATAGGATTCTGATAGTTCAGTAGAAAGAACAAGAAAATAAATTGAATTCTCATATATATAACTCGCTCTTGATTATGAAAAAGAAAAGGCACACATCTGGGCACAAACTGCGAGCAGAACATGCAGAAATACAACAGCTCTACAAAAGAGCTATAAATCAAAATTGCACGTCGAATAAATTTCAAGCGATAACCAATAAACTGAAAAACGCTCTCAATATTCCGAAGAGGAAAATGAAATAAAAAGAAATAATGAAAAAACAGCAACAATTGCATTTGATTACTTTTGCGAAAGTCCCTTTGATTAGGCCCCGGAGTGGGACACTGGAGTAGTCACAAAATGACCATCCTTATATGCATGAACGTACTGTTGTGGCAAAGAGTGCTCCCCCTGCAGTAAAATGCACAGAGCTTGTAATGAATCTATGGAAAGTTTAAGTTAACGTCAAATAATTTATGACGATTAGTTCCGTCATGTGTTCTTTTCGTAAGGAGCTAATAGTGTGCTTGGCTAAGCCTAAGAACACGTGACGGAATGAAATAAGTAACTTACTCTTAAAAATGTACATTTTCGAAATGAAATATAAAAATTCCCCAGTAAGTTCTATAAGAGTTCAATCATGTTTGGGAAAAAAAGGTTAATTAAAATTAGCTTCACATTTTTTAGGCCTAGCTAAACACGCTCTAAAGTCGTGTATCTGAATCAGATGCTTTGACATCTACCTTAATCATCCTAAATGGAGAGAATTATCTTGGCCATGATTTGAATGTTCAGGGAAAAGAATATTTTATACTATAAACTCGTCAAAGTAAGAAATATGACAAGAACATTTACTCGTACTTAGAGAGAGATGACTAGGAGATTTAGTTTACTTCGTAGCTTTAAAATCTTTTTAAACTCGGCTTCATGTAAGTAGAGGGTTCTAGTTTTTAGTAAGAAGCTAAGTAAAAGTATAAAAACATACCCAGTCACTCTCAGGTCCAGAGCCAGGTACCAACACATTGATTTCACTTGACTTTGCCGTTGTTATAGAAGCCTCCAAAGAATCTTTGCTCAAGTAAAACTGGCAACCTGCCGTATTGTCCACTGAAATTGTTGGAGCCGAGCCCTACAAAGACCAATGTGCAAGGAAAACATGGAACATTAATCTCACGCAACTAGAAGTGATGGTTTTATTATTGACAGCCAAGGTAGAATTTTTTGACAAGACTCCACATTCTAATATCTGAACTTCGTCATAATAAAATAACTGAAAAAGAAAATGGAATATCTCCCCTCTCCCCTCTTCCCCACCCCTATCCAACCCCTTTCTAACACCATCATCGAAAAGGAGGAAAAGAATAAAATTACGAGAAGCCATCATAAGATCATCCAACTTGGGTAAACAAGATAATTATTACCTGACATTGCACCTCCACAGCACTGCAATTGACAATCTCACAAGCTGCCACAACATCCTAGTTATCAATTTAAACAAGAAAGTGAGTTGACCTTACATAATACGACTTCCAACTTTAGGAAAAACTCGCATGTTTAAAACAATTTCGTCACTGACCATGAATACAAGCCCCATCTTAGTGCACTTGTCTACTGTAATGTTGTTCACTTTCCCTGCACAGGGTTATGCTGACGTTAAGCTTCATGACTATAGTAAACCTTTTCTCATACACTTGTTACTCATTTTCAGCTAAATTGTACACCTGTGAAGGAATTATGCACTAGTAAAAGTAGATATACCTTGGATCTGCACAACTGCATCTTTGCAACCAAAGATATAAACGGACTGCTTTGAATCACAATCTTTAATTAGCAAATTCTTTTGTCCAATTTGATTCTCAACCACCCATCTGCATGCATTGAAACATGTAGATGAAAAAGAAATTCAAACTTTGGCACAATATGCCCCCATGTGTAAGTATCAAATATCACTTACTTCCGACCCATTTGAAGCTCGAATTTTGGAGGTCCAGCCTTCAAGAGAGAAGGCGCACCACCGTTTCCTTTCTCAGCAACGCTCACAACACCAGTTCTATCTGCACGATTCTTGGTTTTCATGTCATTTGTGACCTTTCTCAATCCTAGAAGGAAAGTAAAGAGACAATATAAGGGAAAAAAATCACAGGAATCCAATAAAGAGAAAACATGGCAAATCAAAAGAGCGAATATTACCAGAAGTTACTGACTTTCCAGAATTAATTTCCTGAAAAACAGCAGCCATTCCTTCCTTTGGATGTGATGATGAGGGCTGAGGAGTTTCAGAGCTGAACAGTGAAGCAGGTGGAGGAGGTGGAGGAGCAGGGGCACCTGGTCCTCGTGTAGGAGCTTTTGGTGGGGCCGATGCTGCTGTCGTCCCTGTGGCACTCCATACAGGGCCCAATGGGTAGTGACTCTTCACATAATCCCTCAAGCCCGGTACATAAAGCTCCTTTAAAGCCTTTGCCCATTCAACATGATTTGCATCTTTATTTCTGTATTCCACAAGTACCTGGTAAATAAATAAAAATTAATAATCAGAACTTTCATACTTGAATTGTTCCTGAGCATATAAATGGCAGTATGATTTTGCCTCACAAAAGGAAGAAAAATGGTGTAGAACTTGAAATTAATGCAATTAAAGGCAAAATGCAACCACATTAAAGGTACCTTACTTTTAAGAATCACTCTCATTTTATTGGATAAAAGTAGAGATAAAAGATATATTTTTGCTTATCTAAAATGTCAGTGACAGAAGAAGGATCTTTTCCATAAATAAAATAGTATTATAAAAAATTCTCATATAGGTACATTGATTCATAACTATGGCTTGACCTTTAAGCTTTGGCACAAATAATCTGCCTAAACATTTTCCTTTCACATCTAAAGGAAAATTAATTATTCTACTGCCATTTTTCTAAGAAGCTAGCTACATGTAAAAGCATTTTATGAGTTCAATTATTCATAAGTAGCATTATATTTCAGTATTCCAAGAAATACTGATAATGATTTTTCGATTGTTCCTTATCCGTGGAATGAATCCTATATGTTTTGGGGGTTTTAAGCATGAAGATAATCAATTCAGTCTTTGTGGACAGACTATTATGGATTTTTGACCACCTGTCAAGGTATTTATACTTCTATAAACATAGATCCAGCATCTAAACAAACATCAACATATATTCACTCGTCAAATTACATCTTTGTTCACGAAAAGTATCGAAAATAAAAATATCAAAAACAAAATGACAGTATACAAATGTGTTTTCAGTAGAAAATATCAAATATAAACAACAACAGTAGCAAACTAAGCCTTATTCCAACAAAGTTAAAATCAACTGCATGAGACATGTTTCTCCACTCTATTTCATCCATCAATAGATATAAAGGAAGCTTAATGCGATAGATCAATCTCAAAATATATAAACAAACAAGCATAAAATTGATAACTATATGATACTCACAAGGTATTAACCTATCCTCTTATCCTGGTACGATGTGGCAAAAGTACATCTTAATCAGCACAATAAGACTACTACTACCACCATCAAAAGGAACCAAGGAGCAGGGGAGGGAGAAATCAGAAAATGGTACACACTTTAGATTAAAAGGTAAGTAAAGTTCCATTTTCTTTATAATTTTTTCTTTGTAGTGGTGAAGATGGACACTCTAGAGGAGGGAGAGGAAGGATAAGAATCATTACCTTATTGCAGTAAAATTCAGCCATTTGCCAACTTTCTTCCACATGTGCAATAGGCATGCTCATACCTATAATTAGATAGTACATTAACCATCCAAGCAAAGAAATGAACTAATTCAAGAATTAAAAGCTCGACAGTTTATAAATTTTTCTTACCACAATCTTTCCCTGTATAGGCTATCCATGCCAGGGCAGAAAGACTGTCAGCACTAGTCTTCAAGTGGTGAAAGAAGTCGGGTCGTCTACCTTCTGTAAATGCAGTAGCTTTCTTAATCACATCATTCAAAGGCTTAAGAAATTCCACCATCCCTGCCATGTCAGGTTTCTGCGCATTTCAAGTATGCAAACTGAGCACAACAGTGACAGGGAGAAGACATTTAAAAATAACTCAAAATAATAAAAGAAAAATGCCCATTTCTCCCATTAGAAACCCAAAATAATATTATGAGCTGTTCACCAACATTAGAGTACATCATAATGAGACACCCACCAAACTTATTTTCCTATCTAATAATAGAATTGCTCTCAGACTTCATCAGAATAATAACATGATGCCAAAGGATGAAATGTTCTCTTAACAACCGGCTTTAATAACATAATCATGGCAGTATGCTATCCACAACTTCAATGATTAAAATGGAACTTCAGAAAATCCTATTCCAAAATCAAACTGTTATGCAGTTATAAGAAGTTTAAGCAAAACAACATAGAACAATGTTGAGATCAAGGCCTAGCACAAGTGGCGAGATAGCACAAGTGGTAAGAGCAGGTAAGTGACCTAGGTTCAAGTCTCATTTGAGAGAAAAGGGCAAAATTAAAATATTGTTACAGGACATCCAAAAATCAGAATAAGAAGTTTCCATAAAGCAAATACAATTTCAAACTTCCATCTCAGATTGTCAGGCCTTCCTCATTCCAATACTTTTCAGCAAAAAGAATATAAAGACTACTCCAGGATGATGTATGCCAATTCAAGTATTCAAACTACGAAATTGTCCTGTAAATTTGTACCTTCTTTCCTATCAGCAATCATGGTTGTGTCCATAAACAGTTAAACACCAATAGGTAGCAATTCAAATTCCAAAATTCAATATATAGATATTAAGACAAATTACATCAATGCCAGCAAAAAGGACTTAAGAAGACATTAAACAGGCTGATTGTACGTTATAATATAATTCATTAAAAATAATAATCTAAACGAAATTTTCAATTGTGGAGCTAATTGTTACAATATTTTTCAGTATTTTAATGCACAATACTACACAGAAACAAGATATAATTAACATTGAATGCAAATCAGCAAAAAAAAAAAACCACAATTAACCTGATTTCGCTTGATTTTAATGAGAAGCTCCTTCTGTGTAAAAAATGCCTCCTCGATGATCCTCGAGATATCCAAAACCTGTCCTCCAATCTTCTCTCCGGCGCTCGTAACCCTATTAACATACTGCGAAATCAGATCGTCGAATGCGATAATAGACGGATCCATAGCCATTGCATCTTCGCCGACCTCCCCCGCCCCAGCTGAACGGACTCCGGCGGAGGAAAGCATTTCAAGCCGCGCCACTGCTGATTCTAACCGTTTAATCAAATTCTCATCCATGCTCCGCCCTCTATCTCCCTCCCTCCAAAATTTCGTTTTCAGGTAGTGTAGATCTATTTATCGCTTGTACTGTATATTAAATAATGTAGTTATTATTAATGGTGTACAAATTTCCTTCTTTATTCCCTTTCAAGTCCCTTGGCGGCATTGGCGCCGAAAGCTAGTTAACGGCAAATCAGGAAAATAGGCCATGTTTGGTTCATCTAAAAAAAATTAAGTTAAAATCAATAATTAATTTGGTGCACGTATTTTGTTTTATGGGACTTTCTATTTTTCAATCATTCATTCCATCAAATTTTATCGAAATTTACTAAAAAACTGATTTCTATTTCAATCAAACAAGGAGACGTAGTGCTTTGTCCACGCAATCCTTTGGACAGAGACCCTTCTTTAAAAAAAAAAAATAAATTAGGTGAAGAAAAGCGAATTTAAAAAATAAATAAAAATTGTATGATTAAAAAATATAAAAAATTTAAATTTATGTGCAATTATTTATTAAAAAATATATAGCCCCTATTTGATGCACATTTTGGTTATAAGAATACATTTTTACTGTTGATGTGATTTGGAATATATGGTTGAAAAAGAAGAAAAAGTTATTGATGGGATGAAAAATATTAATTTATTGAAAAATGTGTTGTTGAAAATGAGTAGAAAAATGAGAATAAAAAAAATAATGTGACTGAAACGGGGTCAGCAGGAGGCGGGGGAGAACAAGTATCAAAAGGAGCTAGACAGTCCGGATTGGCCATCTTCGTGGATGGGTCGGACTGGTTTTAACATGTTGAACAATACAACTTGACAAGATACAAGAATCGAACTAGTTAATCTATTTTTTTGACCTTTAAAACTTTTAAAAATAGTACGGATGATAATTTTAATTGCAAATTATTTTCTATATATAACACAAATGATATGATGCTATAATAAAATTTATTTCAGCTGTATCCTAAATCACCCCAGCCTTGCCTATGAGAAATTAAAAGGCTGAAAAAAATAATATTTCTAGCTAACTAATTAGGTGTTGTAATCCTCAACAAACTACTTGTCACGTCCACCCGAATGACTCTTGAAACTCTATTTAAACTACAAGCTAATGCGGTGGTGCCATCGGAGGTAATGTAATAAGCGCATATTAACGAATATTTGCTTAATTTTGTATAAAATGTGTTAATTATAGATAAACCAACTTGGATGCAATTGATCCTGACAAAGTAGAATTGGAGCTTAATGCGGAGTTGCTTCCGAGCAATTAAAGACTAACCGGATGGCACATAAGTGATTAGAAGTGGAAAAGAGAGCTATCGAAAGAAAATTACAAATTTCAAGGTGAAATCCAATTTTTAGAAAGTTTGATGACTAAATTGCAGACTTTCGAAATTGGAGACGTACTCACTAGAACTAGATAGAATTAAGCCCCTATTTGATCCAATTTTTTCAACCTCATATTCTTTAATAAAATAATATTACATGCAAATTCAAAATTTTTCCTTATTTTTTAACTACATATTTTCATCACATCACATTATAAAATGTATTTTTTTTTCAATAATGTGTATCAAACACCCCCTAAAAGAGAAGTTGAAATTTTGATTATTATATTGTTGAGTCATGCTCACAATTTTGTATAAATGACACTAAATTTAAAACGTTCCTGTGAATTCATGGTAGGATCCAACTAGAATCTCAATTACTTCCACACCGCCAAGTGCCTTCTACTTCCACTTAGATGAAATATAAGGAACACGCTAAGAAATGGCATAGGCACTTAAAAGATGTTGTTGAGGCTCAAACCTTTGATCTATTATGTGCTTCCAAAATTAGCTTAAAATTGTGTTTTTGCTGAACCCGTTTTTCTTAATGATGCACTTATTATGAGATGGTGACACGTGGGTTATTTCTGGCTCTTGGATTATTGCCTTGATGGTGTGAGATATATATACGCGTACAGTAGAAGATATTTTCATTTGGTTTTGCCTTTTGAGTTCTTCGTCTTTTGGGTTCTTCTGAGAGTTCCCTTTTCTTGTAGATTAGGGTTTGGTCCTTCGTGTTCTTCATCTCTCATGATGAACTTGTAAAATTGAGATCATATTAGTTGTTAGCCTCTGTAATCTATTATTTGAACAATAGCTGTGAGAATAAGGGTTTTCTTGTAATCGCGATTTCAGTCGGTTGTTGTGGGGTTTCTTTTGTGATTCCCTTTAAATCTGCAGTTCAGTGTAAAATAGATAAGTGTTCTAGCTTTTCTCTTGTGTTTGGAAGAAATATTTGTAACTTGTTGCCATTTTGGGCTTATTAGTGCATTGTAACTTGTTGCCATTTTGGGCATATTAGTGCAACCAAGTGAATATCCATTATTTGGATGCTCAACGGGGGTGTAGGCATTAGATTTGGTAACCGAACCTCCGGGGCTTAGGTCGAAACAATTATTTGTGTTCAATCTTTACTTTTATGCAAAGTTTATTTTCTGATTTGTTGATATTGTTGGAATCTTATTTTAATATTGTGTGTTTGGGCATTTTCAGTGGAATCAGAGCCTGAACTGAGAACAAGATACCTGGATCTTTGCAGAAAGAGTTCGATCTGTTGCAAATCACAAATTTTTGGAACTTCTATTAAGCAAGTCTTAAAGATATTGAGTTTCTTTAAACTTACTGGATGAAATCTTTCTAATTTTTGAAAAGTTTCTTTTTCGAATTAGGGTTTTTCAATATTTCCCTTGATCTATCATACACCAAAACCCCATAGAGACTAATCTTTGTCCAAAAACTCATACGAGATTTTGGAAATCTGAGATAAATCCAGTACTAGGGTGTATATGGAGGATCTTGCAGGAGAGGTCTTTGAAACATAGATTTTGTGATCTCTGTTGATGTGTCTTTTAATTGTGCTTGCTCTGCATGATCCTTGATTGTGATTGAAAATGTGAAATCTTGTATTACTAAGTGTACTACTGTGATTTTAAGCTGTTGTAATTGCTGTGAGTCTCAATTGTGCCTTGCTAATATCTTGAACACCTATTTGTGTATCATCTTGTTAATTCAAATATGGCTTCTGCTAAGTTTGAAGTTCCACAATTTGATGGTAGATGTGATTTTAACATTTGGTGTCAAAAGATGAAGGCAATTTTAATGCAAATGAGAGTTGCTAAGGCTCTTGATAATAGTGGCCTTTAGAATTGCCTCATGCTAAGAGAACTGAACTTGAAGAGGTTGTATGAAATACTATTTTCTTGTATTTGTTTGATAATATTGTGAGAGAAATTGGTGAAACCAACATTGCTTCTGAACTATGAGCTAAACTGCAAGCTAAATATGTAACTAAGACTATTCCTAACAAATGGTTTCTGCTGAAACAATTCTTTTCTTTTAAAATGAACCATTCTGTTGATTTGGATGAAAACTTGAATATGTTTACCAAGTTGACCCAAGACTTATCCAACTGTGATGAAAAACTTTCAAAAGATCAATTGGTCGTAGTCCTATTAAACTCCATTAGTGACAAATATAAAGACATCAAGGTTGCTCTTGAATATGGTAGGACTCAGATTACTACTGATGAAATCATTAGTGCTTTAAGAAATAAAGCTCTTGAAATTAAATTTGAGACAAAAAGTCATTATGGGGACAACCGCTTGCTAAGGGAAAAGGGTTTAGTAAACCTAATTTTCACTCAAAATCCTTAACTGAAAATAGGAACAAGTGGCATGATAAAAGTAAATTCAAGAATAAGTCAAAAGGCAAGAAATGTTATCACTGTGGTAAAATGGGTCATTTTATTAAAAATTGTTACAAGAAAAAGAATGAAACAAAAGGTAAGGCTTTTGATGATGGGAATGCTGCCATGGTCTGTAATGAAAATAATATTGAAGATGGTTTAGTCCTTGTTAATTATGAAAAGAAACTATGTGAAGAGTGGATACTTGATTCGAGTTGTTCTTTTCATATGTATCCCAATAAAAATTATTTTCTTGATTTTGAAACAACAACTGGTGAGCAAGTAATAATGGGGAACAACATGACTTGTAAAGTTAAAGAAATAGGAACTATTAAACTGCTTCTAGAAAATAGCAATGTACTATTCCTGAAAGATACAAGATATGTTCTTGAATTAGAGAGAAATCTGGTATCTCTAGAAATGTTGGATGACATGGAGTTTGACTTAAAATTAGGTCAATGACATACTAAAATTATTAGGAGCTCTGACTTGGTCATTAGCACCCCTAAGAGACATGATCTTTATTTTTTGAATAATAAACTGTTGCTGCTTTACCTGACACCTTTACTTTAGCAAAATTATGGCATGAAATACTTGGCCACATTGGCAATAAAAGTTTGAAATCTTTACAAAATAAAGGAGTTTTTGGAAAACAAAACCTTGGTGATTTTGGTTCCTGTGAACAGTGTGTTATTGGC